GCCCCGACACCAACGGCCGGTAACGGCCGCTCGGTAACGTAACATATTTTTCTTCTTTTTTCTCTTTTCCAGCTGTCACGACCGCAAGGGGGACTCGCAGCCCTACCAGGTACCGACGGCTTCGCCCGCCGCAGTCCCACACCGATAGGCCTTTGCGGCGGCAACTGGAGTGTGGGAGGAGGGCGAGCGGAGCTACTCGAGCGCAGGGTTGAGCCGCTGCCGCTAGGCCGCGCAGAAGCCACCCGCTTCCCTTTCCTCTGCTCCGCGCTCGGCGCACCGGGGAAGGGAAGCGGGGGGAAGAGAGAGAGAGAGAGACTGGCCGCTATGGCAGGTTTTCTTCTCCGAGCGCGAAGGCCTGAGCGAGGCGGCGAGGGGAGTTTGGCGGGGCGGAGAAGCTAGAGGCCTAGGCCTCATACGGGACGCGGGGGGAGGGTACCAGCGGCCGCATTGTTTTTCGTTCCTGGGAAATCGGTGAAATGAAGGGAAGTCACTGAAAACTAAGTCAGAAGAGTCTCTTGGGATCTGTTTACCTCCTGTTTCCCATTTCTGACCCATTAGACATGCACTGGGTAGGTTCTAGGTCGTGAAATGAAATTCCAACAGAATTATAACTTTTCAAGATCATTTTGCCAGTGCATGAAAATTTTAAACCTGTAGGAAGTAAAGATATCTGTAAATAGAATTAAGTTATCTTTAAATACGTAAACACTTCGCTCCTGCACAAAAACTCAGAAGTGGGGTTTAAATAGGATTATTTAAGTATTCTTCCATACCTGAGTGGTCATGTGTTGAAAAAATTGACCACTGGAGGCTGCAGGTGGTGTCAGTCCATACAATGTAAATGTTCACCACACAGAAATTTGCATTGTGAAAATGTTGAGAAAAAGGCGGCTGACGAACACTTCTGTCAAAGTGTGTTCAGTATACACAAGGTGCTGGGGATGCTAAGTACTAGTATCATACTTGTAACATTGTAGATTGTGTTCCTTTTAATACTCCTGCAAAACTCCATAAATTTTGTTTGCAGATGAGAATTTTTCTTAAATTGCATGTAGCCAACCTTGCTTTGTATACATTCTACTGATTACAAGCAAGTATTTAAATAGTTTGTATGGAATACAGTTTGCCTGAGTGTTCAGCTAAGGCTGTTAACTTCTGCAAAAGTGTTTTAAAAGAAGACAGTTTGCAGCAGTGGTTCCCAAGCTTGGGTAACCGAGTTGTTGGACAGCAGTTCCCAGAAATCCCAGCCAGCACAGCTGTTGGTGAAGGCTTCTGGGAGTTGCAGTCCAAAAACACCTGGTTTATCCGAGGCTGGGAACCAGTGGTTTACTGGGATAATTAAGTTGATTGAGGATCAGCTGAATGCATTGCTTAAGAGGGTGTTTTAGTAATAAAAATATTTCTTGTTGATAATTGGGATTAGGAATAAAGGACTCATTTGTTACTAAATTTGTAAAAGGATTAGAGATTGGAGAAGAAGATGGTTAATGAATTTTAGAAGTCAGATGTGTAATTGTAGGCTATTTGATTCCACTGGCAAGTTTTTCATGCTGTGTAGTGTTTTTTCTTTAGTAGAACAATATATAGTCATTTGTCTATATCTTGTAATTTCTTGCAGGCTCTTAAGTATTCATCAAAGAGTCACCCCAGCGGTGGTGATCATCGGCATGACAAGATGCGAGACACCACAGACCCTTCACCACCAAATAAAATGTTGCGACGATCCGATAGCCCTGAAAACAAGTATGGTGACAACACTGGACACAGTAAAGCTAAAAGCATTCATACTCACAGAGTTAGAGAGAGGGATGGTGGTGAGTTAACTTGAGCTGAATTTTGTTCAAAGTATTACTAGCTTGCATCAGAACAGTACTGAGACAAATGACTTGTCACATTATTTCAGTTTACCCTGTTTCCCCAAAAATAAGACCTCACCTGAAAATAAGCCCAAGTATGATTTTTCAGGATGCTCGTAATATAGGCCGTAACCCAAAAATAAGCCCCAGTTAAGTGAAACCCCGCCCTCCACCATTGTGTAGCATTGTGCACCAATCAGAAGAAGATGACTTCTCCTTAAAATAAACCCTAATGCCTTTTTTGGAGCAAAAAAATAATATAAGACCCCTGTCTTACTTTTTGGGGAAACACAGTACATATAAAACTCCCTTAAAGTGAAATACACTTTTACAATTTTTCACTTCATTTATTTTATTTTGTTGGCTTTCATCGTAATCAGAGCATTTATTCTGTAGTTTTCTTTAGTTGACAAGTTATATGGGAGGTACAACACCAGGAGCTACTCTTAAAATACACATTCGTTTTTATTCAAATCAATACAACAATTGCCTGATATTTTGGAAGTATTTATATTATTTTGCTAACAGAGAGACAGCAGCTTTGTGAAGCATATCTATTTTAGGATACAGCACACATTTTGTTCCTTCAGTCAGAAAAAGGATCAGAAATTCCGAGCATATCTTTCATATAATAGGGTTGTGATTAAATATTTTTGAAAAAGTGTTTGGTTCACAAGATAAACTATTTTTTCTAATGCATTATAAACAAAAATTGGCTTCAGTTTAAACTGGAGCTTTAGAGCATACTTAAATCCATAGTCCTTTGTCATGTATATATTTTGTTAAAAAGGCGTTCTGTGTAGATGTTTTTGGCATCTCTGTGTGATTATTCCCTGTTAATAGGCTTTAGGCACATAGGTTGTATGTTTTATTTGAGATCAAGATAGCCGATCTGAATCTAGACGGGAGAGGAAAACTGAATCCCTTATGGGCATGGCTTTCTGTAGTGTTGCTTATATGTTATTTTCATTTATATACCACCCCATTAATGTATCACACTATTCTGCGCTGTTAACAATATGATAAAATCCAGTGGAACGTAACAAAACAAAAATGAAAG